GGAATAGGGAGGAGTGAAGACTGGGTCTTAATGGTTAGGTACAGGCCAAAAATGGAGGGATTTGAGGACCCCTGAGGAGGGAGGAAAGACGTTGGGCAAGATGTGCAAAGACCGTGGGAATTTGGAGAGAACATCTAAGAAAGAGATAGAATGGAGAGATTTGGAAGAAGGGGTGTGGGAAATCGCAGATGAGACAAGAGAGCCATGAGGAAATACAAGGGAAATAGGGAGAGAGACTATAGGGAAAGGGGCTGGCTGTAGGGAATGTGGGGAGACTCCAGGAGCAGAAGAGGAAGGATCCCAGATGAATTGGAGGAACAGTAGTGAGGAAGAAGGGTATATACAGGACAGGGAATAGTTCTACGTCCAAGGAGAGAGATTGGTGGGAATTGGGAAATAGAGCCCAGAGTGTTGGAGCCAATGATGGGAAATGTGGAACTAAGAGGTCTGGGATTTAGAGTTTATGTTTTTACATGGTCCCCACACTGTATTCCCTAAGTATTTAAAATAGTCCCATCAGCACTATGCAATTTACTGTATCGAAGGAGACAAATGTGTTTTAACTTAAAACACAGTTTGTTCTTACAGTGTAAATAGGAGAGAACTTGGCTTAATAATCTTGAGTCCCCTCTTACTTACAACAGTATAGTCCGTTGATTTGGGTAGAGTTACTTCTGATTTACAGCTGTGTTGATGAGAGGAGAATCAGATGGGTGTTTCTAAACTGGGCTCCAGCCTTGCAGGAGGCAGTTGCACCATTTGGTAATTTAGTTTGATGCAATTTGATCAAAACAAATTTGAATAGTTTATTCGGTGACTTTTTGTGTGTGTACTGAAAGGTGACGAGGGTGTTTGTTTGGGATGCTGTTGTGTTTTCTTTACCTCAGCACTTCTGTTTGGTTGACTAATAAGATGTGTATTTTACATTTTCCCCAGGAGAACTGCACAGTTTCTAAGGAGGAAATGACACAGGAAATTAAGCAACTGAAGACACAGGTGGTGCGCCTTCAAGCTGAGAAGGCAGATCTGCTTGCTATTGTTTCAGAACTACAGCTCAAACTCAGTGTCCCTTCAACAGAGGACTCCTTTGTTGAGATCAGAATGAGTGTAAGTTATTGGGAGCAGCTTCATCTGCCTATTGGAGGCCTCTTGCCCCTTAACAGAACCAGGAAACTCTTGAGTACAAAGCAGGCTGCATATTTATATTTCAAGAAGTATCTGTTGGCCTATTGTAGGAAGAATACCAAAAGCATAATCTGAAAAGCCTTTGTGATTAAGACTGGGTATTTTCAAAGGCATGTTTCTGTATGATCCATGAGGAATATAGCATGCCATTTCCTGTAATAGTAATGGCAAATGCACAGATCAGTCCTTGTGGACTGTGTTGAAATGGCTGAATACCACCTGGAGTGAGGACTAGTAACTCTAGTCCTAATAGCAGCAACACAGGTAGTACAGAAGACATTACCCTACCTAGAGTGAGGCTATGTCTAAACTACATCCCTCTTTCAAAAGAGAGATGTAAATTAGACATATCAAAATTGCAAATGAAGCTGGGATTTGAATTTCCTGCACTTCATTTGCATAATTGCATTTCAGTGTTTTTTCGAAAAACGCTATTTCGAAAGTGAAACCGTGGTCTAGACGCGGTTCTTTCAAAAAGAAAAGCCTTTTTCTCATTAAGGCTTACAGGATCTTTTGAAAAAGGCTTTTCTTTTGGAAAGAACCTTGTCTAGTCCACAGTTTCACTTTCAAAATAGCATTTTTTGAAAACGCCGTGATGCGATTATGCAAATGAAGCACAGGAAAGTCAAATCCTGGCTTTATTTGCAATTTTTATATGTCTAATTTACATCCCTCTTTCAAAAGAGAGAGGGGCTACGTCTACACTGGCCCCTTTTCCGGAAGGGGCATGTAAATTTCACTAGTCGTCGTAGGGAAATCCGCGGGGGATTTAAATATCCCCCGCGGCATTTAAATAAAAATGTCCGCCGCTTTTTTCCGGCTTTTAAAAAAGCCGGAAAAGAGCGTCTAGACTGGCCCCGATCCTCCGGAAAAAGTGCCCTTTTCCGGAGGGTCTTATTCCTACTTCGAATAAGAATAAGACCCTCCGGAAAAGGGCGCTTTTTCCGGAGGATCGGGGCCAGTCTAGACGCTCTTTTCCGGCTTTTTTAAAAGCCGGAAAAAAGCGGCGGACATTTTTATTTAAATGCCGCGGGGGATATTTAAATCCCCCGCGGATTTCCCTACGACGACTAGTGAAATTTACATGCCCCTTCCGGAAAAGGGGCCAGTGTAGACGTAGCCATGTAGTTTAGACATACCCTCAGTGAATAACATTATTTCTTGAGTAGTTGATTTGTGTCAAATTCAGTATGTAGTCCCCTTACTAAAGGAACCTCTGACTTTTACTGGGAGGATCCTTTGTGCTGCAGTGTAGCCCTAGAGACTACAACTCCCATGAGCCCTTGGGGAAAAAGGGGGAAACCTATTTCTTCCAGGCTATGTAGACAGAGAGTGAGGAGTCTCCATTTTGGGGGAGAGGAGCCAGGCTCCTTATCCTGGAGGAACCTTATCCAGTCCAGGAACTGCTGTGTTGCAGCTAGAGTCTGAGAGGCTGCGGGGCTTGGATCTAGCTGGCTGCTTCAGAGGCTGCTGATTGTCCCTAGAGGGGAGAGACTCTGGCTGTGCCTGTGGCTGAGAATGGCCTACATAAACCTGTAGGAGGTAACTATGAGTAACTGGGCTCTTTGGGAAAGTGCTGCCTGGGACAAACCTCAGAAAATAGACTGACTCTGGATCCAAAGAGAGGCAGAGCGACCAGCCCAGTGAACCATAGCTGCTGGCATTTGGTGGGGCCTGCTCCAGTGGCAGTGGTATTTTTTTCAGCTGCCTACTCAGTTTGGACTTACACAGAACCTGCCCAGTGCTGTCTGCGCTCTAGCTGCAGACCTTCAAGCGTGTCCACATAAGCAAGTGTCTGGGACTCTGAATCCAGAGAAGTGCACACTTGGGGGCGGGGGAAGGGGGTGATAAATGGTGGCAGTGCAAATGCCAGATAGATAAGTTCCCTTTATTTCTGTGACAAGAAGTCCTGTAGCACCTTATAGACTAACAGATGTATTGGAGCATAAGCTTTCGTGGGCAAAGATGAATCTGACGAAGTGGGTCTTTGCTTAGTCTGTTTATGCCTAATGCCAGCTCTTCTCCCTAAGGCAGCCCTCTAGTAGCCTAGCAACATTGACCTGCATGTATTGTCATGAAGGAGGCCTATATTGAAGAAACCTATATATGATTTGTATCTAAGATGTGCATGTGGACATATATTGGCACACTTATTTAAAACTCATACTTCAGGGTTTAAACCAACTATTAGGGATTAGGATGAGAACTTCATGGGGGCAGGTTATCACACTTCTGCCTACTAAGGGGCTTCTTTGAAGTATCTAATTCTAGCCAATGTTATGGGATACTAGTTGTTTATTAGTTTGTATTAAATGGACAACAAATCTGATCCAATCTGGAAGTTTTTGTGTTTATTCAAATTCAAGGCCATCATTTTATTGGCATTCAAACTTTGATGTCCACGTATTCAGTCTTCCACCTGTTCGCTGTCTGAAATATTCTTTTCTGTATTGAGAGAAAGACAGAGACCAGATATGGATGGGAGAGAGAAATCAGTATAAGGTGGAATAAAGGTCAAATCAGAAAGGACAAACACCCTAATTATTTTTATAAGATATCTTCTAGTCAGAAAACCTGGAATGGGAGTTCGAACTCTGTTCTAACATGGGATCCCCTCTAGTAGCCTAGCAACATTGACCTGCATGTATTGTCATGAAGGAGGCCTATATTGAAGAAACCTATATATGATTTGTATCTAAGATGTGCATGTGGACATATATTGGCACACTTATTTAAAACTCATACTTCAGGGTTTAAACCAACTATTAGGGATTAGGATGAGAACTTCATGGGGGCAGGTTATCACACTTCTGCCTACTAAGGGGCTTCTTTGAAGTATCTAATTCTAGCCAATGTTATGGGATACTAGTTGTTTATTAGTTTGTATTAAATGGACAACAAATCTGATCCAATCTGGAAGTTTTTGTGTTTATTCAAATTGAAGGCCATCATTTTATTGGCATTCAAACTTTGATGTCCACGTATTCAGTCTTCCACCTGTTCGCTGTCTGAAATATTCTTTTCTGTATTGAGAGAAAGACAGAGACCAGATATGGATGGGAGAGAGAAATCAGTATAAGGTGGAATAAAGGTCAAATCAGAAAGGACAAACATCTTATAAAAATAATTAGGGTATCTTCTAGTCAGAAAACCTGGAATGGGAGTTCGAACTCTGTTCTAACATGGGATCGAAGATTCTGATCCTGCAATTAATTCTGTATGGGCAGAAATTAGGGGCTCTTGGAAGGCCCAGGAATTTGTCTGGACCTTGATAAGCCCTAAGGGAAGAAAACAGTTCATTTTTTTAAATTCACAATACGTTAAACTAGTTTCTCAAAACTTCTCCATAAAGTGATGCTGTCAGACCAAATCTTGTGCCAAATGAATTTTTTTTCAGAGCCTGCCATAAAGAGAAATGTTTTTCTTTTAATACTTCTGATTATTTAAAAGGAGGAGTAATGGTAGTTCGGAATAGGAAGCCTAATCCGAACTACCTAGTTTGTGCCGCGTGTAGCCGCGGGCATGGAGTCTGAACTAACGGACATTTAAAAATGGCGGCGCCCGGCAATATGCAAATGAAGCCCGGGAAATTCAAATCCCGGGCTTCATTTGCAACTCCGGTTGCCTACATTAACCGCCCTAATTCGAACTAGGGTGGTAGTGTAGACATACCCTAAAGGACTCCTTGTCGCTTTTGCAGATCCAGACTAACACGGCTACCCCTCTGATACTTTTTTTCTGTGTACTTTTTAATTGATTTTGTTCACTTTTAATCTGTTAAACCCTGTTTCTTTAAGTTGTTAAGTAAAGGTGTGTTAATTCTAATGTAATCAATTAGCTATATCTTGTTTATAATTGTTGTTTTGGAGTTAGTTCCAGGTTATTATTGGAATAATTTTATTCCTGGAGACTCTCAAGGCACATCCTAAGTGTGTACAGAGCCAGCCAGGTGGAGGCACCACCATTATATATTCCTTGGGAGCAAGGGACTGCAGCATGGTGGTGGATAGGGAATCTCCCAACTAAACATCATCATCACTGGGGTACTCACGATCTCCTTTTATGTTAAAACATCAGGTGCCCAGGCACACACGTGTGTGTGACATGTTCCTGAGTAACCCAGAGAGGGAAAAGGGGGGTTACAAGTATAAATAAGTCTCTACCAAATTCAGTCATAGAATGTTTAAAAAGTAAATTTAATGACTTGAGCAATTCAAATCTGAAATTTCATGATGTAGTTATTGGGGTCCTGACCCTAAAGTGAGTTGGGGGAGGGGCTGCAGTATTGCTGCCCTTACTTCAGTGCTGCTGCCTGCATAGCTGGGCCCTCAGTCAGCAGTCACCACTCTCTGGCCACCCACCTATGAGGGCAGCAGTGCACAAGTAAATGCAGGACTGGCCCAAGCTATTTTGGTGCCCCCGGGCTCAGGCCTGGGCGCGCGGCGCTGCACCCAAACACACGACGCATGCCCGGGCCCACCCGTGAGGTGCGGGCCCACTCCGCCAGAGTGCGCGGGCCCGCTCCC